GCTGGGAAATGCTCTAAAACCCCCCAAAACATTGATCAGGGACACTCCTGTGAAAACGCCAGGTGACAACCCAGGTGGGAGAAGCTCTTGGCGAGCAGAGCAAGAAGCCAAAATGAGTGCAGCAATGTGAAGAAAATAAGATAGAATTTTGCAACTTAACTGTGTGCAATTAAGTGCGCAGGAACAGAGGAAATGCTCCCCATCCACCTAAAAGTGGCTGGGAGTGACAAGCTGAATTGCAAGACCAGGAGAAGGAAACCAGGAATGGTGAACTGGCTCTTCCAAGGAGATCCAGGCAGCAGAGAGCAACCCCACAGCCCTGGGGCCAGCAAACACAGACCCACGGGCAAGGGCTGGAGGAACGAGGGCTCTGCAGCACAGGAGGGCAGAGGGACACAGGGCCTTGAGCGAGGGGCTTAAAGCTACACTGAAGAACCAGGAAAAGAGCTTCTCCACAGCCATGCCATGCTGCCAGTTATCCTTCTTTAAATCTTCCAAACATTCATGTGTTGGCAAATAAAGCTCATCTCTGTTCAACAACCACATTTACAACCTTGACACCAAGCCAGATGCACCCAATTCAGGGTTATTTCCTCCCAGCCAAAGGCCAAGGAATGGAAGTCAGGAGGTGCCACCTTGCAGCAGGAGATGCCTCCACGGATGCCCCAGGGATGCCCTGCCAGGGTTGAGCATCAGCCCCAAAGGACCCATATCTTGCCCCAAAGGAGCCAGGGCAGTTGGAAACATCCCCCAAGGGATGAGACAGTCAAATATGAGCCCCCTAAGTGCCAGATTTTATATGTCATTTTTCAGGGGAACCCAAAGGACTCCCCAAAAAGGATGCTCACGGCCACAGACCCGTGCTGGATGCTAGCAAAGGAGAATGCACAGGGAGGTGTGTGGATCTCCAGAGACAAGCAGCTTGTTCCCCAGCATTATGGAAATGAGAGGCACAGCACTGCAAAAAGCTCCAGGCACATTCCCAACATGCTTGCAGCTGGGGGACAGCTGACAGGAGAATCCCTCCATGGACCTAGGAAAGCAGAAAGTGCCCACCTTCCAGGGCACCCTGCAAAACAGATAAGGATGCAACCAGGAGCATCTCTCCACAGTGCCCAGCAGCAGCCATCCCACAACCCGCCTCATTCACCTCCTCAAGAGCCTGCTGGCTGCCCTGGCTTTAATCCCACAGGCAGCATCATCCCAATAATTTCCTCCATTTTCAATCTACTTCCCTCCATTTTCAATCCACTGATCTGGGGGCAGTCCACAAATCCCTTCATCCTGAGAGTGAAGCAATCTACTGCTTCGTCTCATCCCATCTCCATTTCTCTAATCCCTGGAAACAGGAATGAGGTTAGGAGCACGTGGGCTGCCCCGGAGCAGTCTGTCCAGGCACTGCTGGACAGAAACATGGGGGGCTGGGGCGACTCTCATGAATGCCACCCAACTTCCCAAAGCACCTGGGGCAGTTCCAAGCCCCTCCTGATCCAGGGATGGGGGAATAGGTCTTCCCACTCTCCCCAGCTGCCATGCTGGGGACGTAAGGGACAGATTAGGCGCAGCAGAGAAACATGTGGGGATCAATCAAGGGTGATGGGGGGAGTTACAAACATCCTGGTCCCATCAATCCCGGTCGAATCCAGTGCTCCTTGCCGGCGATCCCAAACCCATGACTTTCCCCCTGGCCACGGATGCTCTTTGGGAATGGTAGACTGATCAGTGGGAAATGGGACTCTTGTTTCTGCCTTCCCTGGAGTAGCGACCCAGCACCCTGAGGGGCTGGGTCGGGATGCAGACTGACCCCATCCCTTTGCCAAGCCCCCACTGGCGCAAGGCTGGAGGAGGCAGGAGCAGGGGATCCCACACCCACAGCCACCACAGGGCCGTGTCCCACTGGACACTGTCCCCAGCCCAACGGAAGGGGCTGCAGGGCCACGTGTGACAGGGCTGCGTGGTGGCCGTGCCGGGCTGCGCTGTCCCCATCCTGCTCAGCGCTGGCTCTCCCCGCTCCAGCTGGCGAGGAGGAGGATGGGGGCCCTCGGCATCCGGGGGTGGATCGCCAGCGTGCTGTGCTCAGACGCTGACAGCAGGCTCCAAAACTGTCACTCCCGATCTGTTTTCACTTCAGCTAAACCTCAGCCCCGATTACAATCAAGGAGAGCCGCCTCTCCTCTCCCCTTCTCCCTGTGGTAGGTCCTCTGTAACCTCGGGTCTCAATGCTGAGCCAAACCCCAGGCAGCGAATGGGTGAACTGGCTCTGCTGGGAAATGGGGCTGCTGGAGATGGGGTCACGACTGCCCCTGTCCCCAAGTCTGGCCCTGGAAGTGACGGCACAGCCACTGCAGTGGTTGTATCCCTGAAGGGCAGTGGGTCTGTCAAAATCCATGGGGGATGCACCTCCGATATCACCAAAGCCACAACCTGCCTCTGCCATGGATGTTATCCAGCTCCAAGGTTGCATCCATGGGATGGAGGGGGTTTGGTGGCAGTAGGGTACCCCCACTGCCTGCTGCCAGCTCACTTAGCAACCCCCAAATTAAATAAATAAATTAAACCAGATCTGTGTGTGTGCATGCGATCACAGCACCAGGATGGATGTGTTCAGCAGAAAGCCAGGAAAAGCTCAGCAGATGGAGACAGCCCTCATTGACTGGGGAAGCTTTCAGATTCCCTTTCCAACTGAGCTGGCCACAAAGCAGCTGCGGAGAACCATCGGACTCCCGCCTTGGGGGCTGTCACCCATCTTCACGCTGCAGGACTGGGGGGCTCAAGGGCAGAGGTGCCACCCTGCGGGTTTGGGGACCGTCCCCTGCTCTCCCAAGGCACTGCAGTCAGGGCTCCCGGTGCTCCACTACCACCGGGACCAAGCTCATCCCAGTGTGCCAGGCACGTTCCGCCCCCAGCACGGAGAGCCATGCCGCCAGCAAGGTGCCCTCTCCGCCTGCTCCGCAACAAACACCCATTTTCCAAGAGGGAGTCTGGAAAAAGCAACTGATGCCCTGGGAAAAGCAATCCTGGGACCACCAAAGCAGCATGGCTGGCTGGCACCCAGGGGAGCATCCCTCAAGGTGGGCGGTGAGCAGCTCCCCGTGCCCCCTGGTCCACCACTGAGGGATTTGCTCCATCCGCCAGCGATCCCAACGGCATTCCTCTTCCCGCATCCCACGCCACACTCCCGCAGCTTCACCAATGCTATTTTGAAAGTACTGAAATAATGTTGGAGGCACTTATAAAGAGATTTGTCCCAGCAGCCTTTTGTCCCCACCTCAAAATGACCATTTGTCTTTGAAGGAATAAGCGTCCTCTTAATGCAGCAAGATTAAAAGAACATTTCCTGCAGTTGTTTCCCAAGAAGAAAATTTACTTTTGTGTCTGAGAACGCTGAAAATATTTATATAAACAAATCCCTAAAAGAAAGGGGGAAGTCTGAGATTAAGTGCTTTGGAAATATTACCAAGTTATTCTAGAATTCTGTATTAAGAGCAAAATGCCAGCTATTAGGAAAGAATGCCTGTTTTTTTTTTTTTTAATTCAGGGTTGGGTTTCTGTATCAAAATGCAGCCTAGCATCTGTCCTTGCATCTGTCAAAACAAAGGTCAATCATTTTATGGAAACTTAAACACAATGTCCTTGGGCTACTGTTTTTTTCTTGTTTATTTTTAAGCTGGACATGACTTCCAATTAATAAAATCAGACTTTTTAAGATGGTTCACATTCAAATCACATTATCCCAGAAATCTCAGATTATGAGAAAAACATATCTGAGAATATTTTTCCTTTATAGTATGGAGATGATAATTTGGGGTTGATTTCAACAGCTTTTAAGTACTCTACAACATTTGCCACTAATATTTCACTTTTCTACTTACAAAGAGATCATGAAACCAAGGAAAATACAACAGAAACATGATGGTTTCAGGAAGAATTTTGACACCCTTTTTGAGGAAAATGGATATCTGAGGGCAAACAGAAAACAAAGCAAGCATCATAATAAAAGGGATTCCTCTCTCTGAATCAAATTTCCCCAGCAAAAGGAAAGAAAATGAATGAAAATAGGATGGAATTAAATAATAAGAATATTTACAGCATTAAAAATTAATGGATGTGGAATGGAAATAGAAATATTTTTTTAAAATACTGGAACTAGAATGGAGTTCAAAATAAAAATATTTAAAGTTTGGAAATATACTGGAACTAAAAAGTAGAAATACCTAAAACCAAACAAAACAAAATAACAGAAGGTAAAAATCAAATTAATCGGGGTTGGGGGTTTTATTATGTAGCCACACTAAGACATGATTAACATCCCTGTTATTTTAGTGTCCATTCCTTGAAGGCAATTCCATTCGTGCCATTCCCACCCAAGAGCACACACAAGTGACACTGTCCAAAGCCTGATCTGCAAATCACGGAATTTAGGAAGAGCTGGATATTCTGGTTAAGGAAGAGATGGATGCCTCCCTACCCACGGCGGCACTGGCTGCTGGGCATGGGTAAAATGGAATTTAACCAAAATAACTAATTTAACTACTTAATAAATAATTTAACTAAAGTGCACGCTTCGAGAACGATGATTTTGCAAAACAAAGTTGCAGCAAGATTTGCCAAATTGAGCTCACAAAAAATATTTGGAATTTTTTTTTTTTTTTTTTTTTTTTTTTGCAAAAACAAAACCAAAAAGATATTTGGCAAAATAATTTCCCACAAATATTTTGGGAATTTCTCCTAGGAGAGACTTGGGGAGCAGCTGCTAACTTAAGGGAATCCCATTGCCTGCGTGCCGATGTCTCCCATAATCCCACCTCACACTACCACAGATGTAAATTTCCTCCAGGAGAGATCCCCTTCAAACTGCTCCTAAGCACTCAAAGCTCTTCCAACCCACACCAGAGCCCAGGACCCGGCTCATTCCAGGACTCTTCCCTGACTTACACTGGTGGGAAAAGTTGCCCGCGGCGGGTGGTCCTCCACCAAGACAATCTGTTAAATCTCCTTACCTTTCCCAAAGAACCGCTCTCGTGCCGCTTTGGCGGGAGGGGGATCCAGACAGATGGCCAGTCTTTTCACGTTTGGAAAGGATGAAAAATGCTACAGGGGGGAAGAAAAAATCCCAGTGATTTTTTTCTTACTCCGCTGTTCAGCGCAGAAGGGCTCCCAACCTCATTGGCCCTGGGAGATCCACCACGTGGCACGGGATGAAGGGCACGTGACCTATTTTCTCCCAAATCCCTGGGTTTGCTGGAAAGGGGGATGCACCCACTGCTGATGCTCTTGTCATTTCATGGACTTTGATTTATTTATTTTTATTATTTTTTTTAAGGCCACTGAGCAAATCTGGATGCCCTGAGGTGATGAGGGCGAACCAGCCAACACTTCCAACACGAAGGAGAAAGGATCTCAGCATCAGATGAGCTCTGGTGCGCTGCCTGTGCGCAGGGGGAATTTTAGGCGTGTTTTAGAGGGTGCCTGCCCTCCCAGTGCAGGGCCAGAGCCTCCAGGAGGGACAGGAGGGCTGTGCTAAACCCTCTATCTCAGAGGCAGCAGCACGGTGGGAAGGAGCAGCCTGAAGCCCTGCCTGCACATCCCAGAGTTCAGCTGGCTCCCTGCAGGAAGCGGGTACGTTACAACTGCTCCATCACCCAAACCAGATGATGTTGTGCCCCGATGCTGCTCCTGACCCCTCCTCAGCTGTGCCCATCCTCTGCTGTCCTCCTGGCTGACGCACCCAACAACTGCTCCAACAGATGACAATCTCCTCCTTCGGAGGCTGCTGGAACAGCTTTCTGGGAAGCTGGACCACAAGCAGGGAGGGAGTGTGGCACACTCCAGGTGGGCACTGCCCGCTCCCACCAGCCCTTGGCCACACCAGGCCCAAAAGGTGCTTCAGTGTCCCGCCCCACAGACACTCACCCAGCCCAAAATGCAGCACAATTCTGGGCATCCCAAAAAGATCCCCAAGACTCTGTGGAGCAAAGAAAGCCAAGCCACTGCTCTCAGTGTCTGATTTTGATGGGTGCTGGGGGTGTCCCCTTGTCCCAGCTCTGAGCCACCATATCCCAGCTGGCCATGGTCCACAGGCCAAGCGTCTCCTGTCCTTCCCTAAGTAGCCAGGGCAGGTACCAGCCCTTTGGTGTCCAGACATTCCATTTGGGGAAGGGAAAAGGAATTTTTGGAGCCCCCAGATAGCCTCATGTTTTGTCCATCAGAGCTCAAGCCAGTTGGACCAGCCAGAAGAGGCATTTTTCTGGCAACCCAAGTCTCCACTGGTCTGTGCCAACTCTTGACTGTGCCATCTTTCCATGCCACACCTGTTCACCTGAAAGCTATGGCCAAATCCACCTTGGGCATCTACCCTTGGCAGAGCCCTTCGGCAGAGCAGCTGTCCCCAGCCACCCCATCACCCAAGGGCTCAGGACCTTTTATCCAGGGGGGGCACCTAAGGCTCCTGGGAGGGCCAGCTGAGCTTGGTGAAGCAGCCGTGGCCACCTCCAGCCCTTCTTGGCATCATCACCATGTTCCAAATGCTGGTTCTTCTTGCTGGTTCCCCTTCCACGGTTCTGCACAGAGACGGGAAGCGTCAGAAGCACAGCCCCTAATTCCAGATTCTTCCTGAGGCCAGACTGTCTCACCATGCTGTTCCCAAAACCACAAGTACAGCCATAAAAGGCCTCAAGCAGTGTAGAGAAGCGCAGGGTTTCACCCAAATCCTCTCTGGCTCGGAGGGTCACGCTCCAGCCAGATCATGGACGCTCAATTCCAATAAATACACACTGAGGGAGAAACTTCCCACACTAAAATTTTCAAATGCAAACTATGGCCACAGCCCAAAGCACCCAGCTCATCGCTTGCCCCTCCCATGTTTTCTGATGGCCATAGAGAAGAAACCTGAGCACCCTGGGATAGTGGAAGGTGACCCTGCCCATGACAGGGGTTTGGAACGAGATGACCTTCAAGGTCCCTTCCAACCCAAAGCATTCCATGATTCTGTGGTTCCATGAACCTCCACCCCATCTTTCAGCCCCCTCCTCCTTCCCCAGCAAAGCTAAAGCTGGGTCCCCAGTAATCTTCCCAATAATTATATAATAGAGAGGCAGTGGATAAATCATTTCAGGCCACTGTGCTGACAGAAAGCAAGCTGGATTAAAAGATCAGAACAAGCAATACTTAGATTAAAATGGTTTGTTATTTTCAGCTTCAGGAAAAAATCTGTGGCCAAAGCACAGAAGATGCGAAGCAAAGGCGCATCATCTTCTTTCCCCCCAAAACCTGACCTTTTAACGGATTTGCCAAGACAAGTTCTAAGTTTCCAACCTCAAATCAGGTTTTGCTTCCCAACAGGTAAAATATGCACTTTGCCAGTTCATATGACGTTTTAGCTAAAGATTAAGAGATGCTTCAAGTTGTATTTTGCCCACGTGAAGCCATCAGAGCCCTTAACTCAGGAGAACCAGTGCATGGCTTGGCAGATAACGTCACTGCCTACGAAAAATGTGGCTCCTGGCAAGATGGGCACCAACCCCTTTCCCTTGCCCCATGCCTCCCCACAGCCCCGAGCTGATGGCAGGCGCTTGCCAGGCTTACCGGCAGTGCAGAGGCGGCAGTGGCAACTGGGAGAAGCCCATCAGACAGTGGGATGGCTCTCCACAGAGACCTATATGTTGTCCCCCTAGCCCCCAGCAAGGTCAGCGGCCCGGGGTGCTATGCTCTGACTGATGGCTTTGGAAAGGCGTGAAGGGGAGGCAGGAACAAAAGGGGGAGAGAGGGAGGTGGTGCTGGGGGCTGAGCTCTCCGCAGGGCATGGCGCTCATCAGCCCAGTTTGGATCGATTGGGTGATTCACCTTCAAGTTCAGATTGAGCAGAAGGGTCAAACTGGGAAATGGTTTGGCACTGGCAGGCACGTCCCCCATCACCACCCTGCAGCCTCATGTCACAGCTGTTTGCCTTGCTGGAATGGACAATTCCCACCCGACAGCATCTCCAGAATCAGCATGCCCACCTGAGCACATTGCTAACCCCGTAGAGTCTCCATCTTCCAGCATCAGCAGGGACCGCTCATCCCATCACCTGGATGGGAGATGGAGCAGCAGTTTTTTCAGAGTAAAGTACCAGAATATCCTGAGTTGGAAAGGATCCACAAGGATCATCGAGGCCAGGTCCTGGCCCTGCACGGGACAATGCCCACAATCCCACCTTATGCTCTTCCAGGTGTCTCTCCCAGCTGTAGCTTTGCTATAAAAACATCATGGTACCACACACACAGGATCCGCCTGGAGTTCTGACGATGGAATCCCATGGGGCAAGAGGTCCAAGACACAGCCTTGGGGAGGGCTTGGACAGAGACAAGCACCAGGCTCCTCTCCCTCCTGTGGATGTGGGAGAGGGGCTGGGACACAGACCTGGGAGAAGGGATAGGATGGTGGGCAGGAAGCATGAGAAGGCAAAAAAGTTATGTCAGAGGCCTTACCAGAGGGAGATGGCAGCTATGAGATGTTGCAATGTTCAGCAAAATTCCACCTTATATTGTAGGAAAGTGTATTCACTAAAGCCAGAGAACAAAACACGCTTGCTGGACAGGTGATGGTGAAAACTCAGACCAGACACAACCAGTACCCACCACATCAACAGAGGCCATGGGTAAACCTCCCCACAGTTTTCTTTGGCAAGTTCTATCCTTGCTGCACCTCACTGGGTCACCTGCGGCTCCACTGGGAAGCCTCCATCCCCCTATCCAAAACACACCCTTGTGCTGCAGGTGCAGGCTGTTTGCTCTGGCCAGTCTCTCCCGATGCTTTCCGGGCGGAAAACAGGGATAAGTGACACTCATAAAAGGAACGAGAGAAAAGAGAAATGGGTTTGTCTGTCGGTACATTTCTGCTTTATGGAGCTGTCTTCTCCCTCGGAGACACGCATCCTCCCCTCCGCTAATGGAAACGCTGCCCTGCCATCCATTCGTGCCAGTCAATGCCTGGGACAACACGATGGCCTAGGGCCACTCCGGATCTATTTTAGTCACAAAAGCAGAGCGGCTGATGAAAATCACTTCGTCTCTGCACTTCCCAGCTTAGCTCTTTTGCTGGTTTTAATGGAATGGCCAGCGTGGTGGAAAGCAGGCGGCGAGGGCGGAGACGGTGGGTTGAGAGACCTGCACAGATGCAGGAGAGGGAGAGAGGCCCCAGCATCCTCCCTGCTTTACAGCCTGAGGGACCTGCAAAGATCACTCCTCCCAAGATTTGCCCAGAGAAGCTGTTGCTGCCCTGTCCCTGAAGTGTTCTGGGCCAGGTTGGATGGGGCCTGTGGAGGTGTCCCCATGGAACAAGATGAGCTTTAAGGCCCCTTCCAATCTGAGCCATTCTGGGACTGTATGACTTGGAAAGGACCTTACCTTACCCTAGAGGATGGCCTCAAGCTCCAGAGTGATTCCTGGGAAGGTCTGGCTGCACCAGAAAAGGGCATGCTGAGTGTGGGGGGGAGCCCAGCAGTCCACGGCACAAGCCTGCAGACAAGGACACAGCAGAGGTTAAGGCACGGCACAGAGGAAAGACTAAAGCTGCTTAATGTGAACTTGACAGAGAAGTAAAACACAGACTGGGTTGGGGGTCAGGGGAGAATGATCAAGAGCATCAACTCCAGGTTGTGTTTAGGTAGGTAAGCAGATTTTTTTTTTTTCCCTACATTGCAAAGAGGTTTGGGCAGACCCTCAGCATCCACCACCAACACGAAATCATCCTGTGGAGGAGGAGATCCCTGGAATGCCAGAGAGACTCCGCCGTGCTCACAGCCCAGCAGACCTCCTCTGTGGTCACCTCCCTGTGGCTGTGCCCAGCTGTGGAGCCAGGAGCCTGCTTCCTGCAGAAATCCAGCAGTGGTGGAAAGGATCCAGCACGTTTCAGCACCATGAGTTCCAGGTGCCAGCTGGATTTTTGCTGCTGCTCCCAGTAAGTTAACTGGGGCATGCACTACTCGTCAATACAATCAATGGAGCAGCCTCAGCCACTAATAAATTGAGTGCCAGAGGGCTGGAAAACCTCTCCACTGCCCAGAATATTCCCCAGATAGCAGGGTGAGTGAGCTGCAGATCCCTTGGTTGAACTTGGTGCTGCTCTTAACGTGCTGGGGCACCTTATGTGTTAACAGGGAAAACCTGCCTCTCCCGGTTACTCAGCAACCTCTGTGCTCATCCCCAGTGACCCCAGCACTTCCCTGCCATGGGAAGGAGCTTGTCAGTGGAAGGGGAGCCCATGGGACCTCCTGAGGTCAGTCTTCAGCCCAGCTGATGCTCACAACAGCATCAGCACTAAGGTCAGACCAGGTTGCCCAGGGCTTTATCCCTTTGGGGCTGAAAACCTCCAAGGATGGAGCATACACAGCCTCTCTCAGGAACCAGCTGTCCTCAGAATTCATGTTTTTTCTCTCAACAGTTCTCTCCATGTCCTCCAAGGTACTGGCTATGTCCCCAACTGGTGTCACTTACAAGCAGCACAGGTGCCAGGGTGGACTCTGAGGGATTTCCCTGCTCTCCACTGAGCCTACACCAGCCAGATAAATTTTAAATCCCAGTAACTTTCTGCAATCGCAACATCCAGTCCCATGGGCTCTGGCCAAAACGAAAAGCCTGGAAAGGACGGAAACCCCAAAGCGTGACTCACCGTTGGAGGAGCCGCAGGGCCAGGTCAGGGACCCCGTGGAGTTGGTGATCAGCAGTGCAGGAGGCAGGGAAGGATCTGGAAGACAGCACATGCTGAGGAGCCCACCTGGAATCCACCGAGCATCCTCCCAGCCCTGCTGCCGTGGCCAAGGGCAACATGGGGAACAGGGAAGCCCAGGGCCATATCAGAGGAGTCCTTGGTAATTGTTTTATTCCAATCACTACCAATTGCTGGTCACTGATTCCAGGACTGAAAACAAGAAGGGAAAATCCTCATCACGGCACCAGTCTCATCTACATACCCATGAAAAGGGAGCTCAGGCAAGCATTTAGCAATGCTGGAAGGACAAGGGGTTGCAAGGAAACCCCAATCCTTCTTCCCAGAGCCAGTGTGGGCACAAATCAACCTGCATCCCATAAATTCATGGGGGGAGACTTGTACTTATCTTCTAGGTCCTAGGTTTGAGTTTTTCCCAAGGCAAGGCTTAGCATCCAGCGAACTCAGCATTAAGGAATTTTTTCGCGGTTTTCTTAAACAAAAATGGGTCCATCTTTCAGCAGCTCTGCTCCTTGTTATGTCCCATCCAGCACCTGCCACATAGCACCACAGTAGCTCCTTCCTCATCACTGACCAGTCCAAGGCACTCAGGAATTGTCTTAAAAGGTATCCTGAGACGGATAAACAACATTTGGGCTGCTGGGGGACTATCACCCTTGCCATCTCCCAAATCCTCTCCCCAGCATGGCTAAAGGCCCTGCACCTTGTGGCTGCCCTGACAGTAAAAGCAAAGGAACCAATTGAATTTTTTTTCCTGGTTGCTCTCTCCAGTGAAGCATGCATTTCCAGGAGAGGCAGCAGTAGGCTTCTCCCACCAAAAACCTTCCATCTGCTGATCCATGGCAGCGGAGAGCACAGCTCCATCCCTACATGGCCAGCTCGCCTGCTAGCTCTCATGGACTACATCAGGAAATTTGGTCAGGAATGTTCAAAAGCATCACTCAGGATGCTGAAGGAGTCATTTCTCAACAGCAGAGTGCCCAAACCCCAGCAAAATCCCGCCTCCTGCTCCCAGATAAAAGCACCTGAGGATGCAAGGAATTCCAATGCATCGAGATGTGACCAATCCCAAAAATCAGCCTCTGGAGACTACAGGATTTCACTGCCCTTAGCTCATCCCAGTGAGGCCACAGGGACCCAGGGGCTGGGCAGCACCTGCAGCTTGATGACACCCCCTGCACTGGAGCCCTCGGCCACTCCATTGCAGGGGGCTCGAAATTTGGTCTGGGATGGGAATAGAGGAAACACAAACATGTGGACAGATCTGGGGCCATCAGCAGAACGCCAAGGAGAAGGACTGAGGGTGGCTCCTTGCTCATGCCCATCTTCCAAGGTGAGCTGGTGGTACTTCCACATGGGGGCAGCTCCCATGCCTGGTCCCACAGGGTTGTGAAAACTCCCTGCTCTCCTACCACCCCAAATACCACATCCCCTACTCCACACCACTCCCCTTCCCCAAAAACACCAAAGCCTGCTGCAACACCCACCCTGCCTCTCCTGCCAACTCAGGACTTCAGCTTCCCCTTGCTGGTGAGTCCCTGGATTTTTGTGACCATCAGGAACCTTCCTTGGGATGTTTGGGACCATGGGGCACATGTGCAAGGTCCAAGCTCTGCAGAGAGCGTGGAGAGCTCGGAGAGGTCCTACAGCTTTGCTGTGACCCTCCAGGGAAAATTCAAGGTCTTTTGGAAGGCATGCCGTGCAATGGTGAGGGAGGGATGGGATGGGAATGGGAATGGCTGTGATGGGATGGATGGTATGGGGATGAGACAGGATGTGACGGGATGAGATGGATGGAATGGGGCAGGATAGGATGGGATGGGATGAGATGAGATGGGAATGGAGATGGGATGGGATGGGATGGGATGGGACAGGATGGGAATGTTCTCCCACCACACCACCAAACCCTGATCCACAGGACACCCCAAAGGCAGGAATACCAGTGAGATGGCTCCATCTGCATTGACCCCCAAGCTGCCAGCCCCCTCTGTGCTGGAGGGAACTCCCCTTCTCTCTCCTGGGGATGCAGCAGCCCCCACACTGCCGGGATCTGCGCTGCTCTGGGGTTCTGGGCGCCACCGCTCCCTGCGCAGGGAGAGAGGGATCCTGCCCTGACCCGTGTTCCCATCACCCGCCCGTCCGGGTGCTCCACGCAGACAGAGGCAACGATTGTGATGTCCCAGTGAACAAGCTGTCGGGATGCATCAGCCTCAAAGAGCAGCCTTCAGAGCTGCCTTCTCCTCCCCTGCGCTGCCCGGGCGAGGAAAATGAAATCCAGCTTCGAGCACGCACACACACGCAAACACGCGCGCACACACACACACCGCGTCACCAGTGCCTGAGGTTTTCCAGCCTTTTAGCTAAAAATCCTTGCAAACCTTGCCCACGAGGAGGGGGAGGCAGCAAGCCCGGGGTGGGGGTCGGAGGGGAGGTGCTGCCCAGCTGGCAGAGGGGCAGCCCCACGGGCAGAGCCCCGTGACGTGATGGAACCTGAGCGCTGCAGAGCCGTCAGGAGCATGGGCAGAGATGAGCTGAGAAAAGCCATGAGCAGAGCTGACATCTGCCCCCTGGGTGGGTACCTAATGAGCGGAGACACTGTCCATTTGTGGAGATGAGGAAAAGTTAAAAGATTTCCAAGCTGACACCTGGCAGCCTCCATCGGTGTTCCTGACCACACAGCACGGCAAGGAGAGCAGCGGTCGCCCCCCGGCGCTGCAGGGCTGGGTGAGCTCCATGGCCGTGGGCTTGACATCTCAGCAGCTCATCCACGCTGCCCAAATCTCCCCTGCTTGTGTTTTTCTGTCACCTTAAAAGAGAAACTGGTGCTTTATGGGAGCTGGGGGTGGCGTGGTCTGGCAGGGTCCCATGCCCATACCCATACCCCAGGAAAAGGCAGCAGCATGGCAGGGAGCACATTCCTGGGTCTAGCAGCACGCCAGACCTGCTCTAGGCTGGGATCTGGGCACGGGCAAAGGCTCCCTGTATCCTGTGGTCTCCACATCCCAGGAGCAGGACGGCACTCAGGAATGCCTCAGCCCCCGGCGTGGCCCAGCAGCCCCCCACGCTTCCACAAACCCAGTTCTGTCAGTGCCTATAAATCCAGCCTCCCTAAGCCCACTTGTCACAAGTTCTTCTGTAACTCACCTCCAGCCTCTTCCCTACCCACCACCTTCCACTGGTGACAAGACAGGAGCAATGGAGCAGAAGGGAGAGCCCTGTATCACTCCAACCGCCTCCCAGCTTTCTCCTCAGGAAAACCTGGGTCTAAAAGTACTTGTGAGCCAGTAAACAGCCCCATTCCCCCCAAAACCCACAGTGAAATGCTCTTCTCCCCACCTGCCTGCCTGCTTTCCTACAGGCCAAGTGGATTTACAGAGAAAACACCTCTCTGCAAGTATCCTGGCTGAAAGGGGAGACCCTGGAGCATCCTCAAGGCTTTTCACCAGCCTAAAAAGCACCTTAAAAAAACACTGACATTACTTCACATGGTTTTCACCACCTCCATCAGCCAACAGTCTCAGGTCTAAACCCCATTACAAGCATGACTTTCACCTTCCTGGCTCCAGGGACTTTTGCTCCTTTCCAACAAATATAGCCAGAAATGACCAAAAGAAGGGTGCAACCCTTTCCCTGGGATGCCTGGGAGTACAAACAGCAGCTGGGTTCAGGCTGCTCTTCCCTGGCACCCACTCACCTGCTGGGCTCGAGCAGATGGAGCAGCCACAAATCCCCCTGTAAGCCAGGGAAGGGACTAAT